AATGAATCATGGCACATACCTGAGACTATTATAGTCTAATCTAAGTCGTTTTGAGTTTATATAAACTCAAAACGACTACATCACAGCCGTTCCGGCAGGTAACGACTTTGTGACTTGAGCATTGGGGACATAGAGTATGTACATAGAATAGAGTAGACTTTTAGTAAATAGGAGATGCAGTAATACATATACAGTTTTCATTGGAGAATGTTATTGTAAGAGTAGCAGTCTGAGGATTGCAACCATGGGAGCTATTGTTTGCCGTCTACCCTTACCCATCAGATTTTTATTGGGAGAACAAATAGAAGAGAGTAGTATATCCCAAATTTAGTGTGTACTTAGGGTAGAGTAGACATGGCAATGTTATTGCAAGACAAGACGTGGGGACTCGGGTGCTGGGGACATAGAATAGTGTGTACACAGGGTAGAGGAGATGTAGTAATATGGGGTTCTTGCTTATGAATTATTGGGGTTGACTTTCATTTGTAATGCTCATATTGTGTATTCCATGTTATCTCTTATCTCTATTCATCTTCTACTGTCTCTTCTTTATTCCCCATCCAACCATCTGTGTCTTGCTTGCAAATCATTAGTAGCTGCTCAAGGTAGGTAATGACTTTGTGACTTGGGTGTTGGGGACATAGAGTAGTGTGTACATAGGTAATAGGTGCATAGACATAGCAATATGATTTCCTTCATTATGAATTGATTGGGTGTATTAGTATTATTATTATGGCTTATTGGAAGAATGCTACTAAGCCAATGTTTATTTTTCCATTTATAATGCTCATAGTTGGTGTTGATAGTGATACATTAACATCCACTGGTAAGTTTCAACCTCTTGAAGTACTCTATGGGACATTGATTCTGTATATATTAATATCTGACATTGATTATAGTTTGATTATATTTGTATTTTGGTGTTGAGAACATAGAGTAGAACATCATAATAATAATAGGGAAAATAGGCATTATAAATTTATTTCCCATTCCCTTTTTTATTTTCCTTTTATCTATTATGCAATATTAATATCATTGTCATCCAGTTTTGTAACTGCTTTTGAATGTTGAAGCTGTCAATCTCTATCTCATTATTTTCTTTTTGTGCTCTACATATCCACCACCTGCTCTTCTAACTTCAACTCCACACATTGTTATGTAGATTGTCCTGGAACTCTTTTATCATTCAAGGACATTATGAAGACAATTACATCAAACTTCCAATCCTTAAAGCAATCCAATAAACCTGCAACAGAGTATATTCCATTGCAAGGCCATGACTTCATTCAGGATTTAACAACAACATTACTAATTCAAGCACTTATGAATGGAAACCAGCCACTGTGGCAAAGACAGAATACAAAATTCTTGTGGCTGGGGGACTGCAGGAATAGGTATTTGAGTTAAGTCCTAATTATAGCTTGATATTATATCAGGAAAAACTTGTTATGGCAGAGAGTTGTTTAAGAAGTTAAAGCAAGATGTAAACCTTCAAGAAAGCATTGAAAAACCAATTGATTTTGTATATATATTACTTGACTTCAGCAATGGTGTTCAGTTGGATGCAGGTGACAGTGAACTGCCAATAGTAATAGAGATACTTGTTGGTTTGCAGATAGCATATGCCTTCTTTATTGGGAGCAATTATGATGTGGCATTTCCCACATTCCGTCAGACTGTTCAACTGCTCAACCTGACAAGTCACTTCAATAGCAATACTGTAATTACTGGAATTCACCAGCATCTAAGTCCCAGTGGCAACTGCCTTCTCTGTTTGTTCTTACACATAGATGAATTTCAGAACTTTTTTGAATTTCCTGACTGGAAGGCTGATAAGAAGATAGGTAAAGACAGTAAACCCAAAGGTATATTCAAGGGGATATTATATGAAGTTGCACAGTTTATGCTTGGCAAATCCAACCTGTGCTTTGTTCAGCCATTCCTCTCAGGAACTGCTCCACAGGATGTAGCTCAGCAAAAAGAACCTACCATGTACTCTTTCGAATTTGTCAATTGTTCTCTGTTGACTATGCAGGCACGAATCGATATAATGAACCATTTTGCAACCACAAGTGGCTTTTCTGAGAAGACATGGGGAATTTCGAGTGTCAGCACAAACGCAATTAGCTAATTTAGAAAACGTTTCGATTTTTGCGTGTCAGCACAAACGCAATTAACTAACTTAGAAAACGTTTCGATTTTTGCGTGTCAGTACAAACACAATTAGCTAAATTAGAATATTATTGGTTCTTCA